GCCCCATGTCTCCCAGTGTCCCCTAGTGTGGTATCCCCAGGTCTCCCAGTGACCCTATGTATCACAGTGTCCCTATGTATCACAGTGTCTCAATGCCCCATGTCTCCCTGTGTCCTATAGTATTCCCATGTGTCTATGTCCCCATGTAAGTGTCACTAGGAAGACGGGGAGACCTAGGGACACAGAGACACCAGTGACACTGGGAAACTAGGGGACACTGGCTGGGACACATGGTGACACTGGGAAAATAGGGGACACTTGAAGACATGGGGACACAGACACCAGAGACACTGGCTGGGGGACATGGGGACATTGAGACATGGGGGCACTGGGAGACATGGGGACACTGAGACACCAGGGCCATAGACACTAGGGACACTAGCTTGGAGACATGGGGACATTGAGACACTGGGAGACTAGGGGTCACTGGGAGACTAGGGGACACTGAGACACCAGGGACACTGGCAGGGAGACATGGGGACACTGGAAGACATGGGGACACTGTGTCCCCATGTGTCTGTGTCATAATTAGTGATGTCGCGAACATAATATTTTCGGAACACGAACTTGAAATCCACGAGCTTGAAATCCATCCAATCACAGTGCTCTATGTCATTTTACACAGCGTGGGAAAATTGAACTTTCCCACGCTGTGTAAAATGAAACAGAGCACTGTGATTGGATGGCTTGAAATCCATCCAATCACAGTGCTCTGTGTCATTTTACACAGCGTGGGAAAGTTCAATTTTCCCACGCTGTGGGAAAGTGTGGGAAAGTTCTTTTGAATTTTCCCACGCTGTGTAAAATGACAAAGAACACTCTGATTGGCTTAAACCAGCCAATCAGAGTGTTCTTAGCCTAATTGCAGGGCGTGGCAAGGCTTTATAAGTCTGTGCGGAGCCCTCCATGGGTGAAGTTGGATTATTTTTTTGTGCGCTCGTTTTTTTTTTAGTTTTTTTTTAATTGCGTCGGTTCTTATGGCTTTTTATTTGGCCTTTTTTGGGGCTGAAAAAAGAAGATTGTAGAAGAAAGAAAACATCAAATGGTAAGTTATTTTTATCTAATTTTTTTTTACAGGTTTTTAGTTAAAGGTCCCCCCCTCATTATTTTTAGGATGAGGGGGTTAGGTAGGGAGATCATTTTTTTTTGGGGGGGGAGGGGTGACTAGGGTCCCCCCCTTTGTATTTAGGGCCTCCACCCACCTCTCAGGGGTCGGGGCCGGGGGGACAATAGGTCCCCCCTTATTGTTAATTTTAGGGCCCCCACCCACCGCTCAGGGGTGGGGGCCGGGGGGGGACAATAGGTCCCCCCCTTATTGTTATTTTTAGGGCCCCCACCCACCGCTCAGGGATGGGGGCCGGGGGGAGGACAATAGGTCCCCCCCCTTTTAGTATTTAGGGCCCCCTCCGGGGGGGGACCCTTTTTTTTTTAACAGTGAGCAGCCACAGGCTGCTCACTGTTTAATAGACATGCCCCTACTCGCGGTATTGCGAGTAGGGGCACAATTTACTAATACTAAGTAATTTTTACTTAGTATTAGTAAATTAATAGGGGGCGGACCGAACATCGCATATGTTCGCCATCCGTGGCGAACGCGAACACGCTATGTTCGCCAGGAACTATTCACCAGCGAACCGTTCGGGACATCACTAGTCATAATGTCTTCCAATGTCCCTTAGTGTCTCAGTGTCTGCCATAATGTGTCCCTTAGTGTCTCAGTGTATGTCTCCTTGCAGCCTTTCCCCCATCCCTTACTTCCCTGAGCTGTGGGCTGTCTCTGCAGGGTGGGAGTTGCTGTCTGGACTCTCTGTAGCTGCACCCCTGCAGATCAGTGAGTATAGATAGGCAGGGAGGGATATGCTGGAACTTCCTATCCCTGCCTGTCTCCACACACAGCAACCCCTACTGGCCAGTGCTGGTATTGCATAGTAATCTCTTGTTTATACTGAGAAAAATACCAGCATTTGTATTGCCAGTATCACTGCAATATTGGCACCAGCCAGGCAGCCTCAATAAAATAAAAGGCAGGTGGAATCCCTAAGAGAAGTGTGTGAAAAAAAAATGTAAAAAAAAGTATTTTTTTGTTTTTTTTTTAATTCAATGGGCCTATTCTATGGGCCTGGGCCTGGAGCTGCAGCTCCATCAGCCCCTATGTTAAACCGGCCCTGTTGGTACGGTAAGTGGGATCTGTGTTGGAAGGGATTTGACTTTGTAACTATGTCAGTTTGGGTCTATCTGGTTACTTCTCTGTAGATATTGGTGGGGCCTTGCTCTGTCTGGCCTGGATGTCAGCCTCACGTACCAGTTTAACCCTTGGGCTCCTGTTTCTTTATGTTTTCAAAGCCTAATATCCTCCGGTGGAATGTCTGGCTTCAGCGTGTGAAGATCTCTCCCTGCAAATACAGTTTGGTCGGCAGGCAGCAAGTTGTGCTTCCATGTTATTTGATGTTATGATCCTCCTCTTGGGTTGAAGTTTTTCCGTTTTCATTTATCTCTGGACTATGTTGCTGTTCCTTTTTTGGACTCTGTGTATAGTGTTGCATCTTCAGAAAGAGGGAAATGGAAGGGAAGTGCTGCCTATTATACTGGGACATGTGCAGGGAGGGGCCTATGTCACTGTATGTTCATTGTTTTTTCATTCTGTTTATATCCTTTGCTGCTATTGGTGGACAGTAAAGAAAGGGATATGCAATACTCGCCTCCGTGTCTTTAATAAAATCATGACTTTTCATCATGTAATAGCAAAATCATGCAATTTTCTAGTAATATACACTTTAGCATTATATTTATATATATTTATATTACGTTATTTTTTCAAAATTACTTTTAGGGTTAGATTTAGGGCTAGGATTACAATTAGACCAAAACACAAAAATGCGTGCTCAGCATATAAAATGTGTATCATTTACCTAAAAGACAAATAATGTTTACTTTATATACCAAACAAGTGCAATACTTCGGTATATCACAAAATGTCAAAATGAGGTTCAATAAGCAATAGAACCTTAACCTTAGATAATATCTAATTGAGACTGTCAAAACTGAGACTGTGCAGTGTATAGATATACAAAATCTATCACTGCTTGCATTTTTTATATATTTATTTTGTTATAATTAAAGAGGCTTTTTGTCTACCCCTGTGGATCCCTGTCCTTAAAGAATATCCTTTAGCCTGGAATAGACACAGTTGGGTATTAGGCAAAGAGCCTGGGACAGCTCTGCAAAGTGTGAGTTGTATTCAACCATTGGGATTTCTATTGTAATGTTTACAGAGTACACTATGTGTTGTATATTTGTCTTGTAGATATTATCCTAAGGACCTATTCCATATTGAACTTCATCCTGCCATTCTGTAATATAAGTATTGCACTTGTTTAGTATATATATATATATATATATATATATATATATATATAGGTGAACGCTTGGCACTCACCTCCAAAAAAATATAAATTTTTAACTCACATGCCTGGGTGCAAATTGTTGGCGTCAAATATATAAACAAAAATAAAAATAAAAATGCACTCACAGGTCTTCTGGTTAATAGGAAAACTGGTGCTTTAATAAATCATCTGTGATGTACAAAAAAATCAATCGACGTTTCGACCCTGCCAGGTCTTTTTCAAGATCATATAATACATGACAAGAAAGTGTTTATATATAAAATACAAATCTAAGTGAATAAACACTTACCCAATGGTGAAGTGAGGAGGAGTGTGTCTGCCCGTTAGAACCCGGAAGTGAATGGAAGCTGCACACAACGTCACGTGATCAGGGCGTCGTACAGGGAAAAAGTGGTTGCCAAGGCAACAATACACAAAGTAGAAAAATCCTATTGTTGACGCCAACAATTTGCACCCAGGCATGTGAGTTAAAAATTTATATTTTTTTGGAGGTGAGTGCCAAGCGTTCACCTATACATATATTTTGGTGGGGCGTCCCACCTTCTTGAGCACCCCTATCATTTATGACTAAAATACTTTGTGGATGTGTTCTGCTCCTTTTTCAAGTGATCACAGCATGGAGGATTTTTTATCAAGAGCTGGAGCCCTAGCTGACACGGCTGAAACACTTTCTATCAGTGATGAACATGCTTTATCTGTTTTATGGCCACGGTCTACTAAAGATCTCTCTCACACAAATACACCTAAGGAATTATACAATGATTTACTAAAGCTAAAAAGACGTGAAATAGACTTAGACCTCCATGGCGTGTTCATCTCTGACTATTATCGTGCTAAGAGAATACCTAGGGGATTTAGAGTCAGAAATGCCCCCACGATTGGCAGACAGAATCCAGACTTTTGCAAACGCTGGATGAACATCGCCAATAAGTGCTCCTTAGACTGGATGGTCATAGTGGTTGAGGAGGTCGGTAAAGAGCTACTCAAGGTGAAAAAGTCTATTCAGGAATTTGAAGTAACAAACGTCACCTCTCTACAGGCACCTACTGTGAACGAGATGATGATTAAATTACAAGACGACATTCAGAAATATCAGAACGAATTAATTCGTTTTAAAAAACAAAAATTAACTAAGGTTAATCATGATTATACACACCACCAAGTGTATAGATGGCTCAGCGGTATGGATACCACCACTAGGAATATTCTTCCTAGATTTAGACCCCGCATTACCAGACCTTCCTCGCACACGATTGACATCAGCTCGGGGGAATCAGCCTCGGATGCTGAACCTAAAGATACCAGACCACAGTCCAGAACTGAACCTTTTTTAGATATTGGCACTCATCATCAAGACCCCCCAGGTATGGGCATGGGTATGGAATCCAGCGGACTAAGAAAAAGAGACCCCCCAGGCGAGGGAAAAAGGGTCACCAGATATGCCAACACCGCCGCCAAACCTCCATCACAGAGGAAACGTCAGTAGTCTTTAATCTATCTAATAAACTACTAACAGAAGCCCATCTCAGCCTTTTAAGCAAGGGTCTTACTTTTATCCCTGTTAAAAAACCACAGGCATTCTCAGTTGAAATCGATATGTACAAGTTACAACGCACTCTATATGCCAATGAGTACAGGAAAGAAGATCCTACATATCAACCAAACCCTTTTATTACCAAGGAGAAAAAGGATATCAAATCAAATAACATGACCATTAAAACCTATGTACAGACCATACATAAGGATGCGCTGAAGATCATAAAAACTCCACCGAAACATAGACCCAATTTAACTTTGGATGAAAAGGCTGCACTTCAGGATCTCCGTGATGATGCGAACATAGTAATTCACCCTGCTGATAAAGGCAGAGGCGTTGTGATTCAATCATACCAGCAATACAAGTGTGAAATTATGCGACAGCTGAATGACACTTCAACGTATCGAAAACTCACTTATGATCCTGTGCTGGCATTTCAAAACAAGATCCAACAACTTATTGATATGGGCCTCCAAGCTGGATATATTGATTCTAACACAGCTAAATATCTTTTGGTGATTCACCCTATACATCCAGTTCTTTACACCTTGCCCAAGATCCACAAATCCAGCCATAACCCCCCAGGCAGACCCATAGTCTCGTCAAGGGGTGGTCTGTTAGAACCCATTGCCAAATACGTGGATTATCATCTACAAGACAGCGTCAAAGAGTTACCATTCTGTCTTAAAGACACCCAAGATCTTTTAAGCCAACTTAGAGAACTAGGACATGATATTCAGCGTGAATTCATATTTGCCACTCTGGACATTCAGAATTTATACACCGCAATACCACAAGCCGAAGGTATTGAAGCTGTTCGTATCACCTTGTCCAAATGCACAGCGTATAAAGGTCCCCCTATTGAATTTATTTTGGAACTACTCACTATTGCACTCTCCTGCAATTATTTCAAATTTGAGGGCAACTTTTACTTGCAGACATCCGGAACTGCTATGGGGGCAGCCATGGCTCCATCATATGCTAACATCTTCATGTCCTGGTTTGAACAAGAATACATTTTCTCCACATATGCGAACAAAATACTGAAGTATTTTAGGTTTGTCGATGACATCCTTCTTCTTTGGACTACCACACATCAGGAATTGGAAGAAATGGTTCAACAACTAAATACGTTACCCACAACTATAAAATTTACGCTCAACCACAATCAGGATCAAATCCACTTTTTGGATGTTTTACTGTACAAAAAAACAGGTGATATTGGCTACACTCTATACCGTAAAGATACAGACAGAAATACTATTCTATCAGCCTCTAGCTTTCACCCCCAACACCTTAAAGACTCTTTACCTATCTCACAGTTTCTTAGAGTTTTTCGCTACAACAGCGATATCTCTAATATGAACGCTCAGCTGGCTGAAATGAAACAACGGTTTATTGACAGGGGCTATGCCCCCCATACACTGGAGATTGCTCAACAAAGAGCTAGAGACCGTTTTGAATCCAGCACGAATATTAAAACCACGAAGACACAATTATTCCTCCCTATGACTTATCATACAGCAACTTCAAAAATAAAAAATACTATAAACAGACACTGGGACGTACTGCAAGCCGATAAGAATCTTCCTCCGATCTTCCAACAACGTCCTATGATCAGCTACAAAAGAAACCACAATCTGAGAGACTTACTAGTTCGCAATGATCCTACACAATGCTATACTAAGAAAACATGGATCAAAAAGAAGGGCTGCTTTAAGTGCACGGGCTGTGTGACTTGTAGCCATATGCTGACCAGTACCTCCTTTTCCCACCCACATACGGGTAAAAGGATACCGATTAATCATTACATCACTTGCACGACGGATCACGTAATTTACATGGTGACATGCCCATGCGGACTATCGTATGTTGGGAAGACAGACCTCACATTACGTGACAGAATGAGGGGACATCGCTCTGGTATAATGACGGCATATCGAGACCAAACCACGGAGAAACCAGTAGCCAAACACTTTCTGGCTATGCAGCATCACCTTCCTACGCTCAAATTTATAGGCATTGATCATGTACCTCCTCTAGTTCGAGGTGGCGACCGATCCAAAATGCTTCTACAGAGAGAAGCTTACTGGATCCACCACTTGGACACGGTCACACCCAAAGGTTTAAATGAAAACATCATTTATTCCATGTTCTTATGATTATTCGTGTACTCTTATTTTATGTCCATATACAGTATATCTACCCTGTGGTGATGCCTATTATTGCATTATTATATACATCTTTACATTTTTTGTCACCAGCATAGCTTCAGATAGTTCCATTAGTCAGTTATTTTTTATTTTTTGTTTCCTCCATTAAGATACCTGTAGATTTCATGTATCTTTTTTATGATTATTTTTCATTACTTCCAGTTATTTGTATTCTATGCCCTTGTCAATTATTTGTTGTTGTTCAGATATATTCTGTCCTACTACTTCAGTATGCACCAGTTTCATTCTGCAACTACTTTTTTTTTTTTTGTAGGTAGCAATCATACGCTACCCACATTATTGTTTATTACATATATTTTCCACATTTTTGCAATATTTCCATTTGACTTAGACTATTAGATTTGTTGTCTATTGATTATTGCTGGTGCTTTATCCTATTTTAACACTTGGTATGTAGAGAGTCCTCATATGCTATTATCTTGACACTGCATGTTAGATACCATTTATCTAAGAATTTCTACTTTTATTATTATTTACTGTAATTTTTATTTTACGCACTTGGCAATTATTTTTCATTGTGCTATTGTCTTGATACTACAAGTTAGATATTATTTTTAGACCATCTATATTTAGAGACTTGTCCAGCACCCTTCTATGATTAACTTGTAGCTTTCTTTAGCATTAGATTGCCAATTTTATTTTGTGGTTTATATGTATGGAGAAATCATATGCTACAGTCCCATTTGTGAGAGCACGTTAGATCAATTTATTGGCTTTGTTTATTTATGGATTTTTTTCATTAGCTCTGGTCTCTATATCTATTTCTCCGTTGTCATGTTTTTTGGATTACTTAAGATGCAGCTGATTCTTTATTCTTTAGGTTTCCTCAGCCTCCCTCGTAGGTTTCTAGGCTATATATTTAGTTTAGATGTTTTTTCATTATAAAAAGCCCGTGTGTCACTTGGTGTTTATGTCATATTGTCTAGCATCAAATTATTATATTACTAATTTTGCATATTATACACTTTAGTGGATATTATTTATAAGATAATTGTATAATTTTGTATACAGTATTTTTGTATATACTCTGCTCTTTTGCTTTGATTTTATTTATGATGTCAGGTATTCGTTTTTCACAGTTTATTATATTTGTTTGTTGTGTGCTCACACGTTTATCACTCAGGTTTTCACATGACACTGCACAGCACTTGCTGCTTATGTACTCGATTCTCCTGACTTTTGTATCATTCACTTTGTATTGGTAGTTTACACTACCCACTCCTTGCTTCACACTGATCTACTTGCTCCCGGCATAGGATTTTTCTACTTTGTGTATTGTTGCCTTGGCAACCACTTTTTCCCTGTACGACGCCCTGATCACGTGACGTTGTGTGCAGCTTCCATTCACTTCCGGGTTCTAACGGGCAAACACACTCCTCCTCACTTCACCATTGGGTAAGTGTTTATTCACTTAGATTTGTATTTTATATATAAACACTTTCTTGTCATGTATTATATGATCTTGAAAAAGACCCGGCAGGGTCGAAACGTCGATTGATTTTTTTGTACATCACAGATGATTTATTAAAGCACCAGTTTTCCTATTAACCAGAAGACCTGTGAGTGCATTTTTATTTTTATTTTTGTTTATATATATATATATATATATATATATATATATATTGGTTGAGTGTTGGGAAACATTATTTGTCTTTTAGGTAAATGGTGTATGCATATTTTATATGTTGAGCACACGTTTTGGTGTTTTGGTTTGTACTCTGCAGATGATGGGGAAACACCTTTTATATATACCGGTGGGTGTGTATGTATATATATATATATATCTTAGAGTGCATTGAGATTATTAGAAGTGCCTATACAGTGTGGATTTGTATTAGGATTAGAATTATGGCTTGGGCTATGGTTAAGATTTGATCTGGGGCTCCTTTTTTCTTTCTTGTATTAAAACATACTAGTCACACACACACGCACACACACACAATGCATGCACGCACACACACTCTCTATCTATCTAAATAAAAGTAGCTTGGACATTAAATATATTCATAAATTCAAACTACACATTTAATTTCTACACTTCAACATTTTATGTCAACTAGATGTACCAATTTGTAAGCAATTAACACATCTATAGAAACTACTCAAATATAAACATAAGCCATTTAAAAGATAAAAAAAAAAGATGAAAACATCAATTTTTGGTTTTCTAAGAAAGAGGCCTTTGAGGGACCTTTGACAGTGACTATTATTTCTTCACCTCTTCCACTCTCTTAGGAGTATTCAAAATAGAGTCATGAAGCATTTTATAAGCATTCTCTGTAAGGTAGTGCCCTTGTCATGTACTATATTATATCCTGCAGATGTTCTCTTACCATTTTACCCTTGCAGCATTTTAGCAGGGTCCAAAGAACAGATCAATGTAAAGAGGCAAATATTTATTTATTAATTTTAGCATACGTGCATGTGTGCCTCTGTAACACCTTTTTTTTTTTTTAAACGTATTCAAATCTGCCAAACAATGCATGCCATAGAATTTAACTTAATGTACCGTATATATAATAAAAATACACAGTCAAATTACACACAAAAACATACATACCCAAATACTTACAACTGTTAAAGTTTATTGAGTAGCACAATAAGGTTTAAATGCTGTAGTCTTAACAATAGTTGCTTTGTTTGCTATTGCAGCAGTGTACACATTTACATGAATTCAAAGCTAAGAGATCTCTTACTCTATATGATATAGGGAACCTGATACAGATTTCTTTTCAGTTTTACATATGTTAGTAATGTCCTTGAGTATAAGAACCATGAAAGTGTCAGTGGAGTTAATTTATTTCATTCACAATATATGTATATACACTAAATTAAAGGTAACATAAAATACTCACATTTGTGATGCTCTTGTATTTACTGCAAATGGCTGCTGCCATGAGCTTTAACCAAACCAGGAAATGTCTTATCCAATAAGCAGGCCCGGACTGGCCAGACTTACTAGTTCGCAATGATCCTACACAATGCTATACTAAGAAAACATGGATCAAAAAGAAGGGCTGCTTTAAGTGCACGGGCTGTGTGACTTGTAGCCATATGCTGACCAGTACCTCCTTTTCCCACCCACATACGGGTAAAAGGATACCGATTAATCATTACATCACTTGCACGACGGATCACGTAATTTACATGGTGACATGCCCATGCGGACTATCGTATGTTGGGAAGACAGACCTCACATTGAGTGACAGAATGAGGGGACATCGCTCTGGTATAATGACGGCATATCGAGACCAAACCACGGAGAAACCAGTAGCCAAACACTTTCTGGCTATGCAGCATCACCTTCCTACGCTCAAATTTATAGGCATTGATCATGTACCTCCTCTAGTT